TTGGGACTGGCTCCATCAACTGCTTAAAAAAGCACGGGGGAGGAGGTGGAAAGGCAAGGGAAAACAACTGGCGTAAGCCCAACGGAGTAACTGGGCGAGGGGGGAGCCTTCTTCTCTGCCGAGTCCCCGGGAGCCCTTCCCATCTCGCTGCGCAGGGGAGGCTGCCTGAAGCGCGGTTTAGCTCCCGATTCAGAACAGAACAATAAATAAACTCCACTTAGTGCCTGTTGCTGGAGTGTTTACAAAGTGCCGTTGCTACAAACAAGGCTGTGCTTAATTCCAGGTGACCATGGCCGACAGAGCCGCAGCTGAAAGAGCGTGCAAAGACCCAAACCCCATCATTGATGGCAGGAAAGCAAATGTGAACCTGGCATATTTGGGAGCAAAACCGAGGAGTATTCAAACTGGTGAGGCATCCAGGAGATCCCGTCTCCCTCTGTTAGAATAACTTGTAAGACGAGGAAACAAGTTACTCGGGCTGGGTTCATCTGCTCTGACGATGCGTGCTTATCCCTCATAGTTTTGATTGTTGAGCAAGGACACTGTGGTCCAGTTACCTCTCTTCCGTATCCTCTTACTCATACTCGTTACACTGGTGTTATGAACCGAAGTTCATATAACTGAATTAAAGCTGTTTTCTTCCGTGACGAATCTGTTTTCCTGTTACCTTCTTCCTTACATCGGTATTAACAGTAAGATCCATTTCATCATTCTGCCCTTTGGTTTAATGACCGTGGTACCCAGTGTGTAAAGTAAGGCTTTCTACCCCATTGTCTGCTCCATAACACACTTTCACACTGTTGTTTAATCTGAATTCCCATCTGGTCCTCGTGCATATCGCATACACGTATTAAAATTAACTTGCTTTTAAATGGGGCTCTGAATTCGTGCACATGCATAGCAGACGAAACACGTGTGCGTGTTGTCTGAGGTGTAATTATGCATGTATATTGTGAGTTGAATGTTCCAATGGATGCTATTCGTTAATATCTCTTTTTTCCTGAACGCTTTTTTAGGTTTTACCATAGGTGTGCAGCAGCTACATCCAGCCTTCATTCAGAGACCCTTTGGGTAAGTGGCAATGTTTCTTAACAGTCTGTTTGAAATGAAATTCATGAATCAACTTCCTCATTATTTAAAAGGCGTGAAAAAAGCCTTAGCCGTCAAGAGTGGACAGTTTCAACAGCTGTTGTTAATGTTCGGAGTACTTTATTTCTGGTGAAGATTTCAGAGGTTTTGTGCGTTTATCAGCTTTAATGTAATTCCCAAAGATCCTCCTTTATCCTCAGTAAATCTTAGTCATAATAAACCCGATGCATTGCTTGCTGCTTTGCCAACTTCAAGAATTCACAAGAATTCAAATAAATGGAAAATAGTTTCTGTATTATAGTACTTAAGGTGTCAAAACAATTAAGCAAATTCTGTTCTCATGTTTCTCAAATAAGATCTTCTGCTTCCTCTGTGCCGTTTCCCACGTAATAATGCTTAGGATACAGTTTTATCCTAGAAAACAAATTGCATTGGAAACAAAGTCTGTTACTTAATGAAAGTAACATTAGGTCAAAAATTGATTTTAGACAGATGTTATACAAGGCTTGAATAGTCTGCAAAAGTGGGCTTTTGTCTGCTGTTTTCAATAGCTTATACCATCCCTACTCGGTTAGAAAAGTCCTCTTTTTATACATCTAATAGGATCTGGCAGCTGCTCGGCAAAAGACAAGTGTGCTTCACGAGAACAATAGCGACTGTCATACTGCCTTCATTTAACTGTTTAATGATTGATGCAGTTCTTTTTTTACACCATTTCAGAAAGTGAATATTGATAGGGGTTTTTTATTATTATTTTCTAAGAGCATTAAGAAAGTAGGTGCATTTTTTAGAGCTTTTGAGCACTGCTGTGTTGTGGTTTTTGTGTGACTCTAACATAAATAGATGGGATTTTGGCCTTTGTCAACAGAAATACTTCATCCCTTTCCTGCTCTCCGCTCATGTGTTTTTGGGGTGGGTTTGTTTTTTTTTTTTTAAAAGAAAAAAGTCTGCTAGCAACAAACCAGAAACTTTCACTCCTCTGCCCTCATGGCTGCAGTTGCCAGCTGCCTGGGTAATCTCATTCCAATGAGTTTATGGATGTAAGGGACTGTGTTGCCACAATAGTGCACACCCAGTGTACGCGTGGTGTGTACGGTTCAAACATGCCAGTTTTCCTAAGTGGTTATGGCTCTGTTGGAAAGACTCGGAGAATGTCTGTCATGAAATGAAGACTCTCTTTTTTTTTTGGTGCAAGAGCCACAGTAGGTGACATAGACAAGATGCTGCTTTTTAATAGCTCCCCTTGCACGGGAGCTACAATCGCTGTCTTGGCCCCAAAGTAGGCGGTAGTGGCACCTTCGAGATGTGTACCCCAGAGGTTCTCCACATTGCACAGGAGTGCACAAGAGAAGCGGACGATAAAACCACCCTGTTAGCAGTTTTTCCACGCGTGCTAACAGAAAAGAGCGAAATAGCGAAGCACGTTTAACTCCTCGTGTTGGCAGGAGTGCCGGCGCGCGCCTGTTCCTCTTGCAGATAATCTGCTGTTCTGCGGGTGCCGTGCCTACCCGGCAGCCGCAGTCCTGCAGCTTTGGAAAATGTAGTTTCTCCTTTGTGAACAGTTTGCTTTTAGTTTCACGTACAGAGGAGTGTGGGATCAACTGACTACGTGTTCTATGTGATCTAGACAGTTACTGTTCCAGTTCTTAGGCATTGGTTTCATCATTAAACCAGCAGAGCCGCAGTTAGCACATACAGCAGAGAGCACTATAAATTATTTATCAGTTGCCAAGAGACAGGAACCGGGAGACTGGAGGGTTGGAGGGAGGGGATTATATATCATTATTTGCAAGCATCAGTAAACAAGAATTTTGTTGCATTCAGTCATTGCTGGAGCAGAATCACTGAAAATGTGGGTTTGGCAAAATGTGGAGCCCTCTACCTGAGCACCACGACTGGGGCTGCTCTGCGGCCTCTGAGGGAAGCGCATCAGGTGCTCAGTCAAGCAGCGGAGCTTGGCTGCTGGTTCCCTCTTTGTCTCGTCAGTAGACCAGCAAAATTAAGAGACTGCCAGGCTCCACTCTTGCATTCCCTTGAACCCACAATTTCCTTGGCCCTCTGGTGGATTTGAGGACAGATGAGGACTTTATCAGGGTCAGATGGGAGCTTCATCAAAACGCTGTGGTCTGTTTCTCTGCACTGTGTGGGCTGGATCCTGACCTTCCCCAAGTGAAGCTCCGTGGCTCATCTGCTTTGCCCACGGTGTAAGACGTTGCCCGGTTCTCCCTCCTGCGGTTCCTGTCTCTGCAAAGTGTTTGTGCCCAGGGGTTGGCATGTGGTTTCCGAAAGACGATTGTTATGGGACGCAGGGTACGAGGTGTGCGAGCTGGACTTGGCAAGGAAGAAATGAATGAACAACCCGTTAACTGCTAGGCAGTTAAAGGAGAGAAAGCCAGCCAGTCATGTTCCAGTTATCAAGCCACAGAATGCAGGTTTTGGTGAAACCTGAAATGAATGGAAACTATGAAAATTACCCAAACACCAGTGAGGATTATTTATAAACTGAAGGCTTCCCCACCCCCGCCCTCCCAGCCCCCGGCACCCAAATGCAGTGGTAAATATTGCTTGGGGTATGCGGAACAGAAAGAGAAACCATGAGGAGCCTCTCTCCTTCCTCCTGCTGTCCTGGCAGGGGAGGCACTCGCACAGCAGACAGCACGGAGTCAGTAGTAAATTCTGTTTTGAAAAGTAGTCTCTAGATTGTCGTAACCGGATATCTCAACAGTAAAGCAAGGCAAAGATGTGTCTGTGTCAGGGCGACTCAGAGATCTGGCTTCTGAGCTCAGGGAAGCAGCGTTAGGCCTGGGGGCTTAGCCCGGGGCTGACAGCCTGCGCTGTGCCACAGCGTGTCCCTGCGGCTGGCGGCCCGCCCCGGCGAGGG